CGCCAGAGCATTATTATTATTGTTGTTGTTGTTGTTCTGCTTATCGCCACCGTTGACGCCGCCGGAACCGTTGTTGGTACCACTGCCGCTGGCCGCGCCCTCCGTGCCGGAGATCTTGAGCAGGTTCCAGTCGAAGACAATGTCATGCGTAAAATGATGACGCTTGAAGAGAGCGCGCAACAGTCGGCGCAGATAGGAGTACTCGGGCTTGTCCTCAAAGTGCAGGGATCGGCAGTAGTTAAGGTATTCGGCCATCTCGGCTAAACAACAAAAAGGAGGCATTCGGGGAGGGGGAGCGGGTCAGAGAGAGTGAGAAGGAAATACAAACTGCCAATACAAGCGAACATGCGTGTCCCAAGAAGCAATTGAGAAGAAGAAGAAGACTCGATTGCTGGGACAAAACGTTTATTTTGAGTTGACCCAATTGTGAAAAAACTCGAGGCGTTACGCCCGAGCCCACCGCCCGTGATTAAAGTTCAACAGGTCAGAGCCCGCGTGACGTCCAACAAGCAATCCACGCGCAAGAAGGCAATTAACGTTAATTGTCGATCTATGTTTGCAGCAATGACTGTATCCTATACATACTGCAAATTCCTGTACATACGCTACCTGTATCTGCAACTGTTTCCTACTCAGATCTCTGATGATGAATCAGCGACGGATGTCGAAACGTCAGGCGAATAAACGTTTTGTCCCAGCGATCGAGTCTTCTTCTTCTGAAAATACAAACTGTCAGGGCAAAAGGGCAATCATAAGGGCCAACAGTAAAACTTGGCACGACCGTAATAAGCCCCTCTGCCACATAAGAGGAAGTGGTTGGATAACGGTAATTTGTCCAGTGAACACGAACAGATAATCGCATCCACTGGCTCAACCCTCTCTTCGCACACCCAGTGTTTTCAAAAATGGGCGTACCCCTACAGGGGGTCACGTGGTAGATGCACCGGACCAACATGGGGGGGGGCGGGCGAAAGCAGGGTACTGTAGGTGTAACTAAAGATGAGCCAGCGTAACAAACGCCACACATTGCGCCTGTAAATTGTGTGGCTCACAAAGGTGGTGGTACACTAAAAACTCAGTATCAGTCAGGTTGCATGCTACAGTTGCCTGCATTGTGAATTAGTCTTCTGCGATAGTAGGCTTGCGCTGCATCTACCGCACTCTTCTTTTCCATCCTTCCTCACCCATCCACCCACCTCTGGCCGGTGTCAAGACAGAATCAAGAAGACTGGAGGGGGGGATCGGGCGTAGGTGCGGCCTAAGCCTGCAGCTACGTGTGCGACCACGCAAAGGAGCAGTACCCAGATCAGAGGTCGGGAACCTTTTGGACTCAGAGAGCTAAGCAAGCAAATACTTGGAAATTTATTTCAGTAACAGCCATATAATATATTTTAAGATTGGATGCGAGGATAATAAACCTCTGGATTTATTCCTTTAAATTAGGTTGTTA